ATATATATATATATATATATATATATACGCGCTGAAGTACTACCCTCCCGTCAAATATTTACCGTCGTGTAATTTACCGCCAAACGCGGTGCGTTTACCATGGCAAACACACTTACTTATCGTAAATTACTTACAACGCCGCGCGCCCGTATATAAGAACGTGCGCAACCGCGCGCCGTGAGCTTCGAGGGACGATACAATCGCTAATCGAGCTTGTTAACGGTGCGTGATAACCGCCCTAACGACCCTACTTGCGGAAACCATCCATTTGAATTCGGTGGTTCCGGCAACGGTTCTAATACCTTTACAGTATTTCTTAATTAAGCGCACCGAGGGCAACAACGACCCGCGAAATCGTTACGAAGTTTTGTTATCACGGCCATTATATCTGATAAAAAAAAAAAAAAAAGAAACCAACGCCACGAGGGTCGTGCGCGGTAACGGGAGAAACCATTGTGTCATCACAAATATATATATAGACGTGCGAACGTGTAAAGTATCTCTCTATAAGTCTCTTTTGTCATTTCGAGAGCCAAAGGCTTATCCGAGTTATTTTTCACGATTACGCACAATTTTGCGTGTACAGGCACGTTGTCACGCTTTGTGTGTGCGGTTGTCTTACGTGAGAATTTGCTACGTTATTAAATTGTTAATCACAAATTGTTGAACCGAAAAGCAGAAGATACTTTTAGAAGAGAATTTGTGTTGAACAAACATCAGTTTAAATTTATTACCCTCTCAGAGATAAATAGATAGATAGATAGATAGATAGAAGAGAGAGAGAGAGAGAGAGAGGGAGAGAGAGAGAGAGGTAAATTTTTGAGCACAAGTATCGTTTATAGTCAGACTGTGTATATACATCGTTAATACCGTATTTAAATGCGACGAAACTTTATAGATTTCAATATGTAACGAGAGGATGATTCGCTCTTTAAATCCTCTCTATGTATGCTCGCGTCATGCTCCAATTCCGGAGTCTTGTGTACACGTTTTTGCATCTAAATGCATTTTCCCTGAAAGCCCTTAATCGCTGTTTGCAGAGCATCCGATTTCGGTTCAAACAATAAATAATCCGACTTTCTAAAAAACTCGTTAGACATGTATTGCAACGTTACTTTGCCGGGGGTATCTCATCAACGTGCTTTAAGAGTTTCTTCGAACAAACAAACCGGAAAACACTTTTTTATCGAGAATTTTATATTTAATCCTCGCTCTATATTTCGAATAAGCAATTCCATTATCTAACTTTGCTCCGCGCCATGAAAAAAACAGAATCAATGTAATTAAACAAAATAATGCAATAAATCAAAGTCGTTCGGAAAAATATCACATTTCGACAAATATTCATCATTTTGTCAATTCTGCCGACAAAACTGCAGGATTTCTAAAATAGATCGAAAATCTGAAAGAAAAAATATATATCATAATGATGTTTGAAATCAATCGCGGTTCTTCGCAGACCGCGATTCGAGAAAAATCGATTTTTGTTGAATTTTAGAAAAATCGGCGTGCAATCTTGCTCTCCGCGCGAAAGAAAGTCAATTCGGGATTATATACGTCAATGTAAAATCGTGAGATGGGATTCTCATGACGGCGCAGCTGGTTATTTTTGAAAAACTTTGGATTCGACATGCCGCACAATTTCAAGCTCACGGATCGAAATGTTATTATAATACGGGAACTCCCGCGCGCGAAATCGTCTTCTCGTGTTCGCAGCTGATCTTTACGGCGGATTTATGCAGCGCGTCTTATCGGCAACCATGCGGAATCCCGGGCTGCCACGTGCGGAACGAACACTTTGGACCGCGGGATCTCTCTCCCTATCGCACGGAAATGCGAAACCATAAAGAGAGGAGCCGTAGAGTTGCAATTGAATAAAGTTATAGAACATGTGTGTGCGTGTGTGTGTGTGTGTGCGGCGCAGCGGCCCCAACTCAGTCCGCACAATGGCAGATTAGACGCGGCGATCATTTTTTACATTCGTCTGGCTTCGTTCCAGCTGACACCGGCATATGGCCGCCAAAGATTACGAGGGTACCGTCGCCGCGGACCGTGTCCAATTTCCAACGTTATTATTATTTTAATCCCTTGAGCCCGAGGCGAGGTGCCGCGCGCACCCGCGCAGCGAAAATATTCTCCATCGCGGTAATTTCAATTGCAAAAGCGCCCTTTTTAACTTCCGACAATCCATCTCGCTGCCGCGTACCGCGGGCCCTGACTCTGAAAAATGAGATACATTTCTCGCGCGCTCGGTGCATGACGCGAGCGATCAAATAGATTTCCGCGAACAATAATATAATAATGTGCGCAAAGAAACGCGCGCATTACGTCAAGAACGTTTGTTTGAGTTCCACAAATTGTTCCACAGATAATGTCGAGAGCGAGAGACGCGTTGCGACATTCTGCTCTACGGGTGTTCGTATGAGATCGCACGTCGACGCGAATTAGACAAGTCTCACTCGTACAATGGACAATCTTTCTCGAAAAGAACGTCTATTCTTTTTACTTCGCGTGGCGAGGAGATACTTCTTGATTACGCTGAATGAAAACTGTTTCCGATTGAAGCTGCAAACGACGACGAAATTCAGGACAAGGTAACACGAGACAGAAGGGGAAAGGGAGAAGGAGGATCGAATGTCTCTGGGGTTTCCATTCTCGCTGTCGCTCTCTTCGGTCAAGGCACGATCATCGCGTGGGATAGAACCTGCTGACGCGTTTCAAGTACCTTTTATCCGATGTGTGAAACCGTCTTCCGTGTCTGTCAGGAGTTGGCGCGGCGGTGAGAAGAGTGAGAACGAGGAAAGGGAGGGAGGGGGTGAGGTCAAAC